TCAAGATGCAATCCGAAAGTTTGTCTACAAGAAGTTAAGAGTGCATACTAACGAATATCTCTACTGCAGTAAAATTAGAGATCAATTGACATGTCAATAGAGCACCCTAGCATTTCCATTAAACGCCCGTTAACCAACAAGAATAAATCTTTCATATTTAGTATTTACTCGTATCAAAATGCCGTTTCAAGGATTGAACATAAAAGTATACGATGAGGTCCAGTGAGAATTAAACTTGTTAAAATAAAAGTGTGTGTGATCCACTTTTTTAGGAGAGAATGCTTTTTTTGTGATGTGATGGTGAATATGTGGTTGAAAATGAGGGAAAAGTTATTGATGTGATGAAAAATATTATTATAAAAGAATGTATAGTTAAAATGAGTAGAAGAATAAAAATAAAAATGAGAATGTGTTTCAAATAGGGTATAATTGAATCATTTTCAACATAATTAATGGATTCATAATTTCTTAACTATACATTCCATTTATAAATTATTTATAATTTATCCAAATGTAGCATACACTTGCATGGGTGTTACATTTACACAGTATTTCGAAAGTGGGCTTTTGTAGATCAATTACACTGGGGCGGACCTACACAGGGGCCTAGGGGGCACGTGCCCCCCAGATTTTGAAGGTTTTTCCTTTTTTTTTTTAAAATATAAAAAGAAAAAAATTCTGAAACCTGCCTTACTCTCCACTCCAGCAGCCCAGCTTGAGCTCGCATCTCCTCTCTAGTCTCTCCCGTCTGAGTCATCTCCACTCTCCCACACGGATTTCTCCTGTTTCTCCTCTCCTCTGTCCCAAAAAAAATCTGAAACCTACCTCTCATTCCTCAATCCTCATTTCTCCTTTCCCGTCTCCCGTCTCCCACACTCGTTCGGCGTTCCGTTTCCGAGCACCGTTCCAAGCTCCCACTCCCGTCGCAAGCTCCCATTCCCGGCGCCGTCGCACTGCTCCTGTCAGCCTGTGACGAGGTAAGTTCCCCTTTTTCTCTCAAAATGAAAGTAATGGATTTAGGGTTTTTTTATTCTATTTTTCTTCCGTTTACCCGATTGATTTATAATTTATTGGTTGTTTCTAGCTTTATTTAGGGATTTTGATTTATTGGTGATTTGTGAAGCTTTATATGCTGCAATTGTAAAGTATTATATGCTGCAATTGTGATTTTGTGAAGCTTTATTTAGGGATTTAGCATTTAGGGATTTTGATTTATTGGTGATTTGTGAAGCTTTATATGGTGCAATTGTAAAGTATTATATGCTGCCATTGTCATTTGTGAAGCTTTATTTAGGGATTTAGCATTTAGGCAATTGTGATTTGTGAAGATGTTAATAGAATTATACACAATAGTTAATAGAAACTAATACCCAAACGTGGATGCAATATAGGATGAAGAAATAAAAGCACGTTTACTTCAAGATCCCAAAACCTCTGCAAAATAATAAATCAAAATGTTCCAATAGCCTTCACACTCATATTAAGTGCAGGACACAGTGTGATGAAAATGCCTCCACACCTAATAACAGAATTCTGGAAAATTCTTTAAATATTACATCACTTGAATATAAATCCGTAATAGCCAGAAAATAATATGTCGAACTTTTTAAATCAAACCTAAAACCAAATATATAATACTTGCATTTGGAGTACTGAGTACCAGAGAATCATACCTGAGGCATTTGCCAAGAGTCTGGTATATCAAGCCTTGAAGCTGCAAAAATCTAAAACAAACAATAAAATTAATGCCCCTAAATCTAATACATCACTCATATGTATAATAATTATAACGTAGAGAAAAATTGCAATAATATATCTTTTACGGGCATTTTTTGGTCATTTTGTGAACCCTAGTCTCGAAAGTCTGCATCCGTCCCTGTACACCAAGTAAATGAGATAATTTATATTGGGAAACTTATTGAAATACCTTTAAAATGGAAGTCTTTTGAAAAATCATATGAAAACTGTTTTGAAAGGAAAAGAAAAAACTAAGTGTCACTTTTCAATCAAAAAGTGATGTATAATATCACTTTGTTTATTTGAAAGATTGAATGATCTCTATTTTGTAGCAATAGTGTGTTAAATGCACATTTTTTAGGAGAGTGCATTTTTTGATGTGATGTGATGTGATGAGGAATATATGGTTGAAAAAAGAAGGAAAATTTATTGATGTGATAGAAAATATTATTTTATTGAAAAATGTTTGATTGAAAATAAGTAGAATAATGAGAATGAAAATGAAAATGTGGCTCAAACAAGGGCTCAATATGAAAACAATTCAATAAAATACAAAAATTTTAAAAAAAGTGACAAACACTACAAAAGTAAGAAAAACCAACCTAAACTTTAGAATAGATCTAGGGAATAGATCCAGAGGTCGTTGATTTTTTATTTTATTTTTTACATGTTGTCTCTTTGTAATTGTATATCACTTCATTTTTTGATAACAATACTCTGTGTGCGCTTGGTAGAGATTTTTTGGGGGAAGAATTGATTTTGAATAGTGATATGATGGGAAATGTGTGGTTGAAAAAAAAAGATAAGATTATTGATGTGATAGAAAATATTATTTTATTGAAAAATGTGTGGTTGAAAATGAGAATTGATTTGCTGTTGAAAATGAGAATTTTTACCAAACATAGCCTCAATAAGTTGGAAGTGATATAAATTCAAAAAAAAAATGACAGAAATTTAAAAAATTGACAAATAATTAAAAACGTTACAGAATTTCAAAAAAGTTACAAAAATTTAAGAGCTTGTTTGGGAGAGATTTTTTGGGGAAGAATTGATTTTGAATAGTGATATGATGGGAAATGTGTGGTTGAAAAAGAAAAAAAATTATTAATGTGATGGAAAATATTATTTTATTGAAAAATGTGTGGTTGAAAATGAGAATTGATTTATTGTAGAAAAATCTAATCCCTCCCAAATAGGGCCTAAAAAGCAACAAGTGTTCAAAAAAGTGAGAAATGCCAAAATGTACCCCAAAGAGTAAATATAGCAAGATTGATGCCAAAATCAAAATCTTAGAATAGATTCAGGGGTATTTGATTTTCTTCTACATGTTATATCTTTGTGATTATATTTAACTTCTATTAATTAAATATAGAACATAACTTCATTTTAGAAACAAAACATGCTATAAGTTGAAAGTGAAGAAATTCAAAAAAGTGATAAACATCAATCAAAACCTTTACAAAAAAAATATAGGAAATGGTTGATTTTCTTCTACAAATTGCTTATTTGTGATTATGTTTCTCTTATATTAACTAAAGATAAAACATAATTTCATTTTAAAAACAAAACAACCTATAACACTACTAGAAAGTGTGGCAATAGAGACGGAATTTTAGTGATGAACAACTTTCATTGTTATAGACGAATTGCAATGAATTATTATTTTATCAATATTAACAATTTCATATTGAACTAAAAATTCGTTGTTAAATTTAAAAAAATTATAAATAATTAAAATTTACAGTCAAAAAATATTCTATCAATTTGAAAAATTTAAAATAAATTAATTAAGATTTACAGACATTATATTTCATCAATAATGTTTTACAAAATTTTTAAAGTAATTATCAAGGTTTAAAAAAATTAAAAAAAGTCATTTTTTTGACAAAAAACTTTTTGTTATACTTTTATCAAAACCTTTGTAAAACAATCATACCCGAACTCCAAGTAAATTTAATCGATATTGTGTAATTAAGAAAAAAAATTAGGACATGTTTGAGCCCCATTTTTTGTAATGCTTTTTAAAATAGTAGATTGATGAAGAATATGTGCTTAAAAATGAAGAAAAAGTTTTTAAGTTGTGTATAATATTATTTTATTAAAAAAATATGTTGTTGAAAAGAAGATTGAAATTTTTTTTAAAAAAATGGTATTACCTAAAAATGCATTTATTAATAATTTAATTGATATTCTATCCGATCGTATGCGCCATTCTTCATCTCTCTTCGTTGATTTCCCTTGTAGACTCGTCCATCTGCTCCTTTATACCTTCAAGAATCGTCCATCTTTCTCCTGAGACTAACTTTTGTGTCAAGGAATCGCCTCTCTACTGTTCGCAAATGCAAGCAAATCTACACAAATTTCTCTGGGTTTTATGAAATTCCCAGGCTGGAATTTAAGGTACTTCTCTATTTTTTCATTGTTCACTTTCTACACAATTTTTTTTTCTTTTGATGATTTGTTCTTTATTTTTTTCTGCAATTTTAATGCATGGATTTTGCTCTTTATTTTTATTTCAATTTTCGTTTATTTTAGGAATTTGTTATTGGAATTTTTGGTTATTTTAGGAATCTTTTTTATTGGAGTTTCCGGTTCTTGCTACCATCTTCTTGAGGAAGAACTTATACTTTACTTTTGATTCTTAAGGTTTCCTTGTGATGTTTGAATAAGGCCGAATGTATTTGTAATGTAAACAAAGGCGAATCATGAATTGAGTGGTGGGTTTCAAGGGGCAGTTCCTCAGGTGTAAGTATATCTCCTTTCTAGTTATGATCTTATAACTCTTTTAATTCAAATGACATGTTAGTATCTAGCCAAGAATATTTTGTGGTGAAATATTTGTTGCATATCTTATAATGATGTTTACGGCATCTGTTTCTCTTTGTAATTGAAGTACAACAATCTTATAATGGATTTAGCACGATTTTTATCCTGCTCATTTTTTCCATGTTAAATCTATATGAGCATAATTTCCACTGTATTCAACCTGAACCAATAAGAAACGGTTGACCTGGTTTCTATTATACCTGGGTTTCGCAGTTCTGATTGAAATTGTATTAAAAACACCACTGTAAAAGTGAATTCTGATCTGATCCCAACAATCCGCCACCCAAATTCATAGTTGGTTTCTTGAAAATGGATTCTTTGAAATTTTTTTTTTTTTTTTTTGAAGAATTACAGTACTAAATGATGCTCCTTTTACAGAGATGAATTGAAGCGAAAAGATGCCAATTTTTTCCCATTCTGTTCCAAATGAGAGAGTGATGGGATGGGGTTTTGTTGTAATTGGTTTAATTTCATATATGGGTTTTCTCAATGCTGCTGTAATTTCAAAGCTTCTTCCGCAGTCGGATAATGCTATCATCTCTGCCATACAAAATGACTGGTGAGTTTCTCTTTTACTTGATTTTTACTTTTCTATTTTATAATGATACGAAGTTTTCTATCATTTTATAAAGATTGTGTAGTTGGATTTGTCATGGTGAAAGTGCGTAATGATCCCTAGAATTGAAGCTCTATACCTGTGGATATTCTAAATTAGTTTGCTTAGTATCAATTTGAATAAGAAACCTGTTATATGTATAAACAAAATGTAACAATTCTTGGATTATAAATCAACATTTACATTTTAAGACTATGGAGGATTTTGCCATGTTAGTTTGTAAGTGTAGCTGACCCAAATTTTTTACTGAAAATGGGACTAGTTTGTTGTCTATTGATGTATTTGTGATACTATGGTGTGAAGGACACCCAAATTAGAGAAGGATTGCTTTTATCGTAAAGTTTATATTTTTCTTAGTTATCAGGAGTCGGGAAAAACATGCAATCAACATATCGCATTGTTATGAATCCGGGTTATTTTGAAACTGACATGTTGATGTTCTTGTGGAAGGATTAGATAAGCAACCAATTTAAGGTTTCAATTTGAAGGTTGTCAAGGAGTATATCCTGCCCTATGCTCTATTTAAAAGGAATTATTCAACCAGGAAGGAAGCATTTTATTAGGCTTCTTGGAAAAACTGCTAACTATAGTAGCTGAGTATGCCATGACCCAAGAATAGAGATTCTTGAAAAGTGTATTTTCTAGGAATTCTCTGCCTTAGATTATGTTGTGGATAGCCTTTCTCCCACCCCAGCCCACCCCTTAAAGTAATTGCATACGATGGGTTGAGTGCTCTCTGGCCTTGTGGTTACTATATCAAATCAGGATTCAGAAGAGAGACTTGGCGTTTAGTTTTAAAATCCAAGCAACTTTGAAGGATACAAAGAAAGTTTTCGAATAATATAAATGTCGTCGAAATTCTTGGTAAAGTGAAAGGAGGTTTGCCAATTTTTGTGAAAATTTTCTGTTTTTCAATTTACTATCTCATAGTAGCGTTGCGGATCTCTAGCTTACGAGATCTTTGAATGGACTTACCATTTTTGTGATTCATGTGGTTTATGTTTCTACCTCTGGTCATATCCACCTTGATTTTTGGGACACAAAAATAGAGGGAAGGCAGTTTCAATATTAAAAACCATAAAAATCATAAACTGGATGTATCCAACCAAAAACCTCTTTTATGTTTTTGAGAAAGATGATTGCTAGACTGAAGTTTCTGCAGGAACTGTGTTTGAAAAAAAATGCAATAGAGTATGCTTGATGGTAGGATTGGGATTTTTAAAATCTGCTAGACCTTTTGGAGAGGTTGGGCTTCAAAATTGAAGTGGCTTTGCATTGAGAATCAAATCTATCAGACACGGTAACTATTTTATGGACATTTCATGAGGAGGTCGTCGGCAGCGCCTTAAAGCCATATTTTAGTTCTTTTCTTTGATATCCAACTGGCTTCTATTCTCATTGGGATTGGACATACATGGGGAATCTATATATCACAGTAGTTTGCCAACCTTTCTCATTAACATATGATAAGATACATCTGTGGTTTACATCTAATTGGTCATTTGGTCATAGTTAACTGGATAGTGATTGACACTGCAAGAGCTAACTACTTTCATAACAGCCAATTGAGTGCATGATAAAACACAACAGTAAAGAAATCTTTAACCAAATATCTATTTGTTCCTCTTTGATCATGTGATTAGCATGGATTACTTGATTTCATCTACAAAACATTTGCTTCTATCACTCATTCACAGTGGAACTGATATAAAAATTTTATTGATGACGAAACTGCAGAGTTTTTACTAATTCAATAGCAACCTTACAACAGACAATATAATGACATTTTTAAGACTATGAGAAAAATAGGCATTTTCTTGTCGATGTAGTATTAACCCTAGTAGCATGTTTGGTACGTAGGCCAAGATTGGACAGAGCTATAAATAAAACTTAACTTCTTTTTTCTTTAATTCTATCTTGTACTGTCCGATCCACCTTTCGAGACATATCATTAACGTAATCTCTAGTTTTCTACTTATAGCCAATTGTTATTGAGCTTAACATGGTGAGAGTTCAGCATTGAATGGTTGCAATCTGATGACCGGTTCTTGTTTTGCTTGTGAATGAGACTTGATTTTACGCAATCATTTGTTATGTATTTTGAATATATTTTATTAACATTTTTTTATTTTTCTCTTGAACAGGTATTATTGCTTCTTGGTGCCCTTGACAATTCCGATTCTCATTGTTTCGGTATATTTTCATTGGCTGAGCATGAAATTGTTCAAGCATGCCTGAGATTATTATAATAGTAACACAATGGAAAAAAAATGTAGCATGGTCATTTACATGGTCTCTTCATTTGGCTCTCAGAACTTATTTACTACATTCAAGAATTCGATTCTAAAGGAACAAATGCTACTTTTATATGCAATGTATTTGATACCTACCCACTACGGTACATTTTTGTCTCCCTGGATTATATTAAGTGTTTAAAAGGTTATTTTGTGCTTTTTAATTGCCTTTTCTTATTTTGCTGAAATAAAAGCTAAATGTTCGTGATGGTAAGTGGGTGCTTCTCGCTTTCGTGCTATTCTCCTTGACACTGGATACAGGGAGATGAACCGTGGAATTGCAGGCAATTAGAGCTCACTTTGTGCAAACGTGCTTGAAATCCTTTTTTTTTTTCCTTATTTTCCTGTTGAAGAATATACTTGCAACTTATTTCCAAATCTCATCAGAGAAAATCCCATTAAGTTCATGGCTGTAACTGCAGCATTTCCACATAATAATGTATGACACATATCCGTGCCCAGTGATGCACAAAGAAGACACTTTTCCCGGCAGAATCCCAACTGGATTTTCTAGTGGCTGGACCAGAATGAGGCAGTGTCGAGTTTCCCACGTCCTCCGATTACCATCTGCACGTGCACGCCATGTGCTAGCTAGCCTTGTGGCAAACTATGTCTTGCAACTTTCTCTTGTATGCATGTTTTCTATGGTATGTTGAACTAGACAGGTTAAGAGTTGGAGTGGAATTTTTACTGCGATGTACACTTTTCTTGATAGTACCAAATGTACCCCTCATTAAGTTATTCTACAATGTCATTGCGTCGGTAAAATTATGTATCGAATTGACGAATTGAAAATCCAAACGGGGGCAAAATCGTCTTTCTCAAAAGCAAAAACATGAATGTGATGGGATGTCATATTTCTTTTGTTTTATAACTTGTCCTGCCACAGACATTATAAAATGCAAACGGGTCACGAATAATAGTTAATGAAAATCGATTCTTTGCAAAAAAAAATCGGGGACTAGAGAGGCGCTAAATATGTTCTGTGACTCACCATTTTAAAAGTCAACAAATTTGATGAACTTATTAAAATGTTATCTCATCTATCATTTCGTTTACTAAGTCATTAAAACAATTAAAATGACAAGTGACGAATGTGATAACATTTTCGTGATTGATTCGGAACTATAAAACTTTTAAAGTTCAATGATATCTAGTAAATATTTTTGAAAAGTTCGGTGACAACTTGAAAAATATTTAAAGTTCAATGATAATTGAGGAATATTTGTAGAAGTTCGGTGACAAATGTGATATTTAACTCAGCATATTTTAAAGACACGAAAGATCTCTACTACTCCCGCAAACTCGTAATTTATCCCAAAATTTAAAAGACGAATGATGAACAAGAATAGGCATCTTCTACTTTGAAATTTTAGTCCCACATGTAAAAAAGGTAGCATATATCCATGAACCCACCAAAGATATATTTTTTATTTTTCCACAAAAATATAAATTATTATTCCACACATGCAAGCTGACCTGTCACCCTAAAATCCAACGTGGTTGGACGGCGTGGTGCCACGTCTACCCGCCATTGGCTCTTCTACATGCTCCATATGCCACACTGCGTTCACCACGCGTAAACCACTGTCAAACCTTTTCCATAACCTTTCCATTAGCATATAAATATGCATGGCCTGATGGCCCTCTCCAAAACAATTCACACAGCCAAATCCTATGCTATTAGTCCACTAGCCTAAACTCTTAACTTTCTTTCCCCATTTCTTTCCACTTTCAGCTGAAAATTTGCACAAAAATGTCCCTAGTTGCCAAGTTTATTAATGTGCCATTTTACAAGCGGTGCATCGATGGTCACCGCAGAGATTACTATCATCCTCCATCTGCATTTATGGAAGGCGACATGGATGATGGAGATAACAATGATATCACAACTGCATTTTTAGAAGGTGATGGAGACGACGATGACGGAGATTATGATTATGCCCCGGCTGCATAATGTACCTGGCACTCTGCTCACTGGAAATAAATTTTATCGATAAGAGTGACTTTAACTATTACTAATAGTAATCCAAATATGTAGAGGGTGGATTTCACTTGTCAAAGGCCCAAACTTTCGCGAGTTGTGGGCAACCATATGATGATTCTAAATGTACTATAGTTGGATTTGGGTTCTTTATGATGATTTACCAAAGTTTAGGGTTCTAAACATCTAGTAATTGGTTACAACTTACAACTAGTGTATGTTGGGTATTTCTAGAAGTATAGTTTAAAGGATTAAGATCCACTTCGTTTATGCATTTTAATAGGTCTAATGGTAATATGGTTGCCAAAGATTAAAAGATAAAATCATAATCATAATAATTGATTAACAATATAACAAACTTGGCCATATTTTTAGAATTATCAATTATGACAAGAGTAGCATATTTTTCTAAAGTTAACATGGTATAACAATTATAAATATAAATATAAATATAAAAATTTTACCTGTACTTTTATGTAGTTTTTTTTTTTTGGGTTAAAATTCGCATTTGAAAGAAGTGTGTATATATATATATATTGCCACGTTCACCGTCACCACTATTGCCGCCATCTCCATCCTCGCTACCAATCAGGGCCGGGTCTGTGATTTTCAGGGCCTGAGGCGAACCTTATAAATTAGGCCCCCGAGTTTTTTTTCCCCTTAATCCTTATGTCGTCACGTTCATGGCCAGTGCGATCTTTAACTAAAGTCTGTTAACTTTACAAATCATAAAATACTTGAAGATCGAATTTGCGTAGAAATGTGGGGTCATGTTCGAGCCTTTGGGCAATGCGAACTGTCCCCTTGTACCTCAACAACCAGGAGAGAAAGAGTAGGAGAGAGAAAATACACTTATCAATGAATTACTCACTAAAAATTAATGACTAAGAGATGACAAAACAATTAGAATTATAAACTTATGTAAACATCAATCATATAGTATAAAAAGTCTATACACATCTGAATGATATTGAAATCAAATTAGATCAGTGAAAATGCCAAACAACTTGTAAATTCTGATTTAAGTGGAAAAAAATTCACCAAAAACGAAAAAAATATGAAGGTAGAGAAAATCAATACAAAAAAATTCAACAAAATACTTTGGAACATATTTCAAAATCTCAGATTGTAGAAGGTAAATAATAACAAAAATTCAAATATTTAGATACACAAAAAAAATTTGAAATCAAATTAGATTAATAATAATCACCAAAAAATGAAAGAAATATGAGTTAGAGAAAAACAATGAAAAAATCCAAGAAAAAAATAGAAAAATATTTTCAAATTCAGGGTAAATAATTTAAAGAGATTTGAAGTATAAGATTTTTTTCAACATAATAGTGATTTTTAGGCTTCTACCTAAACTTTGAGATTTGACTATCTTATTTATATTTTAGTAATAAAATTAAAATATTTAATCTAAGATTTTCAACCATCAAATAAATAAAAGAAAATAAAACTAGAAATTGAAATATGAATAATACCAGCAATAGATTTAAATTTCGAAAACATAAAACTACGTTAAATTTCATGTAGTTGAACAGTTGAACTCAACTAATTAAGAAAACCTTGAAGATCTTTTGGAACAAATCTCATGGTGTTGCTTAGAGAATTAAGAGAAGAAACAAAATGATAGGATTTATGACTTATTTTTTCACTTATAAAATAGAAAAACAGTTTTTTTTTTTTTTTTCAAAATATTTGAAGGCCTCTCTGATTTTGGGCCTGAGGCGCGGGCCTCACTCGCCTCGGCCCAAAACCGGGCCTGGCTACCATCATTATCACCACTTATAACCCACAATATTGCAAGTGTAATAAAATCCTGTTAAACTAGTAATACGGTATTACGCTGCCATCACTATCTACAACCACCACAACCAATTGGTAACACATTATCCTACAAATATAACAAAATTGTGTTAAACTTGTAACTAGGGGTGAAAATGGGTCAAATCGAGCCAACTAGGCACTTAAACATCATGAACTCAACTCGTGTGCAAAATCTTGCTCGATTCGGTCTTTTGGCTCATGGGCCAAGCCTCGTCCACAAGCCAACTCATTTTTTAAAATTGAAAATCTTTGTATCCTCCTCATTTTTTCGGGTTAGAGATTGACTACTTTTACGTAGTCGGAGTTGAAATTATATATGAATATGAATTACATGTACAATTTTATTTTATTTTAAAAGGAAATCAACGTAATACAGTACTTAAAAATTATTAAGTTAGGTCTTGAAAATCATTCGCTAATTTTTTTTTTTGGATCCGGAGCTCTGCATCTTACTAATTTTTAGATCCATAAACTCTCTATTCAAGATGCAATGCATGTCACGAAGTTCGAAGGGCCAGATAGATAGCATATTTTGTCCAATTCTAACTCTATATACATATTTAAATCAAACTTTTTAACTTGATTATTGACTTGAACTTTATCACGAGTTATCTCTTTCAATGTCACAGCTTACATATAAGCCATGGCAATGAAATAAATAATTTGAAATATGGGAGTTTAGGAAGTGATAAAGAACGGTTTCATAATTATTCGAAGGCCATGAATAGGAAGTGATAAAGAACAATTGTAAATAGAGAAGGTAGAGATTTGTGGGGGGGGGGAAAATGAAGTGTAAGTGAAGTTTATATAAAAAAAATTATTGGACCATTTTAAAAACATTTAGTAAAAAATTTAAATTAAACCATCTTCTCTTTCTTTACTTTTTCTAATGATATGTAGTGTATCATCATATTTTTCAAGACCAAAATATTTAAAAATAAAATCATCAATCGTTGTTAATGGTGAGAATTATCGTAAACATTAAATATAGTCTTTATCATAATCAATATGCTTCTCGTATTGTAACAATAGGATTTCAAGTTCAGGTGCTCACTACAAAAGAATTTACTTTTTACGGCATGCATTGCATCCGTATAGTCCTTTACAATATACATGAGAATATCGTATAAAATTATGCCATAAATACTCATATTTCTTTAGGGCACACAATGCATGCTATAAAAATCAAAATGCACACCTTTAACTTCTTACGATATGCAATAGCACGCCATAAATCCGTAAATCAGTACCTCCTTTTATGATATACAATACATGTCAAAAAAAAAAAAAAATTTTGAAAAGTGCACCTTTAACTATCTTTTACAACGTACATATGCACGCCGTAAAAGTGCCGTTAATTAACTTTTTACCGCTTTCAAATGTCCGTAAATTTCAATTTAATTTTTTAAAATTTTTTATTTATGTCATTACCAACAAACCTATAATAATTGCATAACAATCTATATATGTCAACAGATATATAATCATGTATTCCAAAATTTCGATAAACAAAAGTATTGAGTGAGGTTCAATACAAATATGTCAAAATGTAGAGTTCAATATGTCACTACTTCTCCAAAAATAACTGATCAAGTGAGAATATTTTTTTGTAGCGCTTGAGACATAATTATTTTGAGTTTTGACCATATAAATATTCTGATATTTGACGAATGCTTTGAAAAAGTCAACCTCTTCAATTTGCTGAAGATTTTCATCCTTTAGTTATCAATGTCACTATTATCCTTTTTGTTTTGTCACAAAAATAAATTAGCATTTAAATTCATAATCGTAATATTAAATTTATTAAATCTATCTATAAATCGTTGGGAACGTCAAGTAGTATATCTCACATCGAATAAATATGAAATCAATACACAACACATAAAGACAGTATAAGATGAAAATCTTATTAGAGCACATTATCTTGAAACGAGCAAACTGATTCTCTTAACTAGAATTTTAAGATGGAATCTTAAATCGACGAGCCTCGAACAATTGGGCAAATATAAACTTTCCCCTAACGAATGTGCCGATGCGATATGAATAATAAGGTGCCACGTGTCTTATATCAAGTTAAAATCAAAAAAGATAATAAAATTTAATTTATTAAACGGACAATTTACGATTCAATCAACATTAATGCAAAATTTTGGCAATCAAGGAAGCTATTCAGATCGTGCCCAGATCACATTAGTGGCCAGCCGAAAGTGGAATAATTAAATAGGTAAATTTGATCAGTAGAATCAAAAGTCAAAAAGGACTTTGCCTACAAGTGGGAGTTGATATCAATGACTTTTGCAGCCTAAATTTGATTCAATTATGCTACATTTACAGTTTTGTTGACATTGTGTGACATGGTACGCAGTTTTGTCCTTAATTTTAACAACACTTAAAACAATAAGTGGTCTCGATTTTGACGCATCACACAATGTCGAGAAAGATGTACATTTTAATGTACAAATAGCTTAATCCAATTTGATATACAAATCAACATTGAAATTTTCATTCTTTGTTGTGTATTTTCACGACAACTTTGTAGGGTTTTAATTTTAGCATAGCTCGAGTGACTCTAATTCTTGCACCGTGGCTTGATCTCTTAATTGAGTTGCGGGTCCCCAGAGTATATTAGATCGGGTATTTAAGAATGAAATAGTAACTTATTATCCACAAAGTATAGAGTTGAAATGGTGATCATATATGTGCTTAAAACGTGTCTATTAGACTATATCGAAAACAAAACTCTTATAACATGATTTAAGGGTGTGAGACTTTCAATTGAAGTTACCATTTTGCAAATAATTCCAAACATAAACTCAATTATTATTTATTTCATAACACGTGAATCAAATCACATGAATGCACACATTAAAAATACTGTATTTCCATGTTTTAAGGGAATGTTGGCAAGATGGTGGTATGTCCTCCATTAGGCATTCCCCCTACAAATATAAATCTCCCTAGTATCCACTTTCTTGTGACATTATATTTATTGGGGCACTGAATTTTGCATTAAGAATTGCTACTTTATGGGTTGGTGAGATATAAAAGATGAAGAAGACAAGAAACCTTTTCTCCATATCTTGGCAAATAGAAATATTCAATTGCTCAAGCATAAAACACTACTTGGAAAACTTACAAAGATT